GTCACGTGCTCTCTCTGAACCAATCACTATAACGGAGATGGGCTTTTTTTTCCACCACCCCCCCCAATCAGGGTTCTCCATGGAACTGGGTGTGGTAGGAATGAGCTGGGCGTGTCTCAGGAACCAGAAATAAGAGGCTCTGCATTATTCTAGTTAGGTTCTATTAATCCGAATATTCACGTAGTAAATTTCAACATTGGTTCAAGGCAGCTGGTAACCCTTTGGCAACTTCTGGAAGCACTGACTTAAGATACTGGTTTCAACTATAAAGCAATTAAAGGGAGTCACCTTATAGAAAACATATCAGAAATATTCAGAGGTTTCATTGCATGACTGTTGAGGGGCAGGCGGGAAAGACTGCTTGGGGGAGGCAATTCTAGAGCTGGCTCCAGAAGCACGCAGCTTGGTTTTAAGTTCCTGTCTCCGAGACTTACTAGCTGGGTAAGTCCCTTAAGCTCTTGGAACCTGTTTCCTTTCCTGTAGAATGGGCGCTATAATACCTTCTTTATAGCCAGTCTAATTGACCACATTAGGAGGTACACCTGGGTTGTTTCTGACCCACTCCTTCATCTTCTCAGAATCTGACTTTAGGTCACAGCTGATCAAGAATGGGAGTACCACTTACAGGTGTTTGTCAAGGTTCTGTCCTCCATCTGCATTGCTTTCCTTGTTTGCTCCAACACCTCCACTTTTCAGGAGGTGATAAGAAAGACTGGTCAAGAACTCTGAGGTCAGATTCCCTGGATTCAATCCCTGTCTTACTACATATTCACTGTGTGACCGTGGACAGGATACTTAAGTTCTCCTCATCTGTAAAGTGGGTGTAAAAGTACCATCTTTGTCGTGGGGTGGTTATGAGAATGATAGTCGCATATCTGTGTGAAGGGCTCCCTGAGGGTCTGGCACATCGTAAGCACTTGATATGTGTTGTCTGGTATTATTACTATTTCATCTATCAACCATGACTCCTAACACCATTCTTGTTATCAGTCTCAATCTCTCTCCTTAAAAATTCCAGCTGCTTCTTTCCACCTGCCTGCTGAATATTTTCTCACAAAGATCCAACCAAAACTTCATTCTCAACCTGTCCTAAAAGAAATCTAAAATATACCCATCCACTCTCTCCCTCCCCCAAGTTTCCTCCTCCGCCTCTCTGCAGCCATTCTTTCCATTAATATCAGCACCTATGGGAAACAGCTGTTTCCTGTTTCAAGAATTCCAGATTATCAGAAAGCCTTGCTTCTCTTCCACTTCCCACAAATTCTCATAGTTGGGGAGCACTTCCACCCAGCTTAAGAGAAATGAGGCCAGAGCTGTGAAGTGACTTGCCCAGGGTCACCAGCACATGGGCAGCATAAGGAATTCAGGCCTCCTGTTTTTGAGGGGATTCCCCTTCCACCGCCCCATGGCTCACTGTTCTCTGTGCCGCGGAATCACTTTGCCCCAGTTGTCCTAAGGGCCCCTGGCAGGCTCACAGCCCCGGGCTTGGTGAGGCAAGGCTCTATGTAGTTCTTGAAACAATTAATCAGATTTCAAAAGCCAAGTCTCCTGTTATCCTGAGTTGTGCACTGGGGAAGCGGGGTGGGCAGAGGTGAGGAGATTAGCTCCTTTGAGACTTTCCAAGCATCGTGAGCAAAGTAAAACCCAAACTGAAGGATGTGAGTCATTCTGAGTGTGCATCTGTTAGCCACAAATGGGTACAAGAGATACAGGTTCTGCAGGGGTTAGGAGTGGTTTAGCCAGTGTTTTTCAATCTGAGAAATTCCATAGCATAGAATTTGAGGGTGCCCGAGGGAGCCCTCCATGGCTCTTCTTGCATTCCCACCTTTCTGAGCCCTGACAGGTCTCAGGTACTCACTCTGTAGCTAATGGGCACTGAACATGGGCCGCATGCAGGCTCCATGCAGGCTTCAGACACCAAAACAGCCGTCCAGCTCATCATGTTCCTACTTCCTCAGACTATTGAAGTCAGAAAATTCTTGCCATTCCTGAGCTTGTAACAGAGACTCAGACCCAGTGACCTCTTTTTGTTCCCGCAGGGGGCTGCAGCCCCTCTGCAAGTTTAAACCGTTCAAATGAGCTCCGGCTTCATCTCATAGACACTGTTGGAGGAACGGGGAGGGGGGAGGCAGCGCTGGGAAGAGTCCCCAAGGTGCAAAGAGAATGCCCACGGTTTCCCCATTCTCCCCCCACGCCATGGGAAGAAAAAAAGCCCCAAAGTACAACTGGAGTTTAAAACTTTTCTCTGTTCATAGAGACAGAAACTAGAATAGAGGTTACCATGAGCTGAGGAAGGGGGTGTTGGAGGAGAGGAGGAGGAGTTATTGTTTAATGGGTATAGAGTTTTTGTTGGGGATGATGAAAGGTTTGGGGTATAGATAATGGTGAAGGTTACACAACATTGTGGATTTAATTTATTTGACGCCACTGAATTGTACCCTTAACAAATGGTTAAAATGATAAATATTATGCTATGTATTCTACCACAATAAAAAAAAAAAGACAATAACTTTAAAAAAAAAACCCTGTTCTCTGCATTTCTTTTGAAACTGACTTCAAATAGACTGGCCCTCAAATCTGCAGCTGAATTCTTTGTCGGGAGATCATTATACTTTGCTTTAGGCTGGTGGTTCTAAAGAATTATGGATGACGGGAATGATTGAAACTGATTTATTTCTCAAGTGTTTGAGATTCCTTCATCCTGGTCCAATAATGTCTGTTCAGGAAAAGCTTGTCTTTACCAAAGTCAGAAAAATAAAAGAAAATGCACAGGCCACCATCTAAAGTGGGCCTGGTTTAAGAAAATCTCTTATGTGAAATCTCAGATTTGGAGAACAAATTGGTAGCTGATGATTTGCCTTACAAAAGACTGATTCACTTGACAAAAGAGTTTTACTCAAAGGTTCCTTTAAGAAGAGAGCCCCCTGGTGCATTTAATGATATTATTAGATTAAAAAAAAAAAACCATCCCAACCCTTCAAGGACATTGCACTGTAAATATGTGAATGCATTGTATTGTGTTGTAAGAGTGGGAATAAAGAAGTGAGGGCTCTTTGACAAATGGACCATTTTAGCCCAAAGTAACACAAGGAGGAAGCAAGATGAGTGTTCTTGGCCTATAATCCTGGCGGCTTTCTGGGAAGGCTTTGGGAGTTTGTGATTTATTTCAGACAGCTAAGCCCGAGGCCTGCGATGTGTCCATTTTGAGAACTTAGGGTCCAAGTTCTAACTCTGCTCACGCTGACCCCTGTCACCTGCCCTAATCACAAAGGCCCTCAGTCGTGAGCGCAACTCTGTCCTGCGATGGCAGAAAAATATATCTGTTGCCAGAAAGTGGATTCTCTCCGGTGATGAAGAATGATCCTTATTTATGTCTGCATAGGTACATTCTGGGGCCCATAAAGGTTTAATTGTCCCTCTAACTAGTTTTTTTAAAAAACCCACAAAGAGGCTGCCAGCTTTCCCCAGAGTTTAAAACCAACTGAATGCGGTTCTGTGGAAACTGCTTTAAGTGTGTAACTCGCGCTGTGTCCTGGGGCACAAGGCACGATTGTTTGGGGGAGTCGAAAGATGCAGCTCTTAGGAGGACTTTGAAAGTCAGTTTTTGTGGCTTTGGGCTGCTGCTGACCCTGGCTTGCTCTACAGAGAGAGAGAGAGAGAGAGAGAGAGAGAGAGAGAGAGAGAGAGAGGCTTCTCCCTCAGCAGAAGCCTGCCTCTGCAAGTTACTCCCAGGGTGCCACTGCCCCCTGCTGCCACCTCCCAGTTCAGGGGGACCCCCTGTCACAGGACCCTAAACATCCTCCCTTTTCTCTCTGATGTTGCCTGTGCTGGTTTAAAAGACTTACAGGAAGCCAAGGAGAGAGGAGACACAGAAAGAGAGGAAACATGTCTGTGAGACAAAAAGAGAAAGACAGACACTGATAACCAACACTGGGCCCAGAGAGACCCCTCAGCACCGCTGCCTCTCCTGTTTGTGCCTGTGTGTTCATTTGACAGTTATTGGCAGGGCACCTACTGTGTGAATGAAGCACACACAGTTCCTGCTCTCAGAGAGCTTACAGTCTCCCGATGGAGTTACTCATCATGCACAAATGTGTAAGGACAAACTGCGACGACTGCTATGAAGAAAAAGGAATGGGTACTGAGTGAAGCTAACCAGGGGCCATGGAAGGTTCTGTGAGGGAGTTAGGCCTCGTAAGTTAGACCTGAAGAATGAGAGGGAGTCAGTGAGGTAACCGGAGGTTAGAGGGAGGGACAGTATGTGCAAAGACCCCGATGCAGAAAGGAGCAGGACTGGAGAAGGAGGCTGTCAGCACTGCTGCCAGCACCTTCTTTGTCTTCTCTTTAAGCCCCCTTCCCTGAAAAGATCTGTGATGGTTTCCCATCCATCACACTTCCCTGTGAGCTTTGAAGGGCCTCGTCCGGACTGCCCCCAGATGACCTTGACCCTTCTCACCCTCCTCCTGGGTTCTGCGAAGAAAACACATTTGTCAAAAGACTAAAGCAAATAGTTTTGACGTGTGGTTCTGTACCATAAGGGAGGTTATAATGAAGTCGATCCCAGTTTACACGACTCCAAATGGTTCCATTTAAATGTCCCACCCTGTATTTATGTGTCCCTACCACTTTAGTTGACTGTTTATCTTCCAGTATACTCTATTCTACTTGCAGTCCAGGCCTCTATTTAACATCATCTCTTACTATTTCCATTCCATGGTCTATCATTTACATTTTTCTTTAGGAAATGTAAATATTTATTTACAGTATTAGCTTTTACTCTTGCTTAGCTCTATATATTATGGAATAAACAGACTGTGATATGGGTTCTAGTCCTGAATTTTCTGTAAACTGGTGGTGACCTTAGCAGAGTCATTTAACCTCACTGAGCCTAAGATGCTTCTGTGTAAAATGAGGCATTTTTTGTTTTTGTTATTTTGTTTTAGCTAGCGGATCCATGTTCAGGATTCCTCTTAATCCCTGTGCTTCTCTACTTCTTACAGACAGCCACCTAGGAGTGCTTCTCTGACATCCTTCTCTATATCCACCCCTCTTTCAGAATGTCTTTGCGGTAAGATCAACTTTCTGTATAATTTGCTCTTGTGGGGTGGTGTACAGGATAGTATTTAACAAATGAGGATAGATCGTACTATTGTGCTTGGGTTAAAGCGCACATATGTGGGGAAATGGTGGAGAAGTAGGAAAATTCTAGCTGCTGCCTAAAATTCCCTTAGACTGCTTCTCAACCTGGGGTATATGCACCCATAGGGGTACAGAGGTGTGCCAGCAAGTACAGGAAGCCCTTCCTCCTCGAACAAGAATTCTACTCAAAGATTTGAGGAGAGAAAATAGACTTCAGTGTTAAAACAAACATATGACATCTTAGTTTAAAAGGGGAGCCCTGGGGTGGACAGCTTTGGGCACACCGTGATATGAGCGGAAACGTGGCCTTTACCTCTGCCCTTGGGTTGTTTGAGAAATACTGGCCTTATGGGTCTTTTGAAATATGTGCACTTAAATAGGGTAAAGGTGTTGAGTTACTCAGGAGGGCCACTCCTGCCAAAGAATGGACATATGTGGAAAATCCATTTTCACCCATTAGGAGAGTTTAAAGAGGGGTCCTGAGGTTGAGGGGGGAGCCAGGCTGAACAAGAGACCCATTTCTAAAGACCAAATCGGTTACACAGTCTTGCTTAGGATTCTGGCTCACGGCTGGTTTTGAACTGATCCAAACATCTGGAAGGTCTCTCACCCTTTCTCTGACCTCCAGTAGCAATTCTTATTTGTACTCCATTCTGGGACTTACCATACCATTATATGTTAGTTATATTTTCTTTTTTATATAGCTTCTCAGCCAGAGTTAGGGAGGTGGCGTGAATTAATAAGAAGTATATGATCAAGAGTCAAGACCCTGCTTGCCGTGTGACTTTTGGAAACTCCCTGAAATCTCTCTGATCCTCAGCTTGCTCATCTATTAAATGGTCCAATATAACACCTGCCTTGCCTACTGAACAGGTAGGATTGCATGCAGAGCGCATACATTACATTTGCAATGTAAAAGCATTTTGTAGATCATTAAACAAAAATCAGTTATTATTAACTAAGACCCCAAAGGGAAGGAGAGTTTATCTCTCACATCATCTTTCTATTCTCCTCAACCTCTAACTTTTGCCTAGTTGGTTCTGAAAACTATTAAAGATAAGATCGTGAAATGCTGTCCCCACGCTGACCCTGAGAAAAGTCCAGTTCTGTCTCTCCTACCCCCATCCTTTCCTCCTCTTCTGGCCTGTCTCCTCCCCTCTTTCACATGCTCCCACACTTCTATTTCTTCCTACTGCCCCTTCCAGAGAATTTGGGTAAGAAGAGGACGCTTAAAGGTGCTGTGTAATGTATATGAATGAACTACTCTCATAATTTCAGGCATCAGCAGGGCAAGTTTTATGGCAATGCCATTTTTGTGGGAAAACAAACTGGTGTCATTCTGGAGACTTTCTCCCAGAAATAAAAATGCCCAAACAGAATTCTGGAAAAAAAAATTTTTTTAATAGAGAAATCAACAACCCAATCTAAATATATCCCTGTAATAATGAAGAATCATATTTTCATTTAACTCTTTGCTGCAGTCAGACAACTTCCTCCCACTTCTGGCTTTGGGGTGTAGGCCAGCCTGCTTCACAGTTGACATCCCTGAGGGAAACACTAGGAAAGGGTGATGGAGAGGAAGGGGCAAGTTTAGTATGTATTGATTTGAGATACTCTCTGGCTAAACAGTAAATTTGCTAGGCCATTCCCCTCCTATCTGCCTGGGCCTCAGAGTGAAGTGGATTTTCTTAAGCAGAAATGTTCTTGGATCTCTTCATAATTTTCCCCTTCAAAATATAGGAGTTGTGCAAGAAAGATCCACATTCCACACTAACAAGGCAAGGGTTATAATGAGAACTTGGTTTCTTACAGGCAATACTTTCATCTTTTATTTATTTATTTTTAAAGTAAGCTTTTGTGGTAAGAAATCAAGTCAAAGTAATAAAGAAGGATGGGAGAATGTGGAACGGAAACTTCCTTTTCATTTTTTCCCCCAAAGTGCAGGGATTGGAGAGGAGGGGTCACTCCAGGTCCTCACATCACTCCAGGGGCAACAGAGCTGACCAGGAACCAAGAAATGCTGGTGACCTGGGGCCTGGAGCGGTGGGATCAGCCCCCAAGCCACAGATGAGCCTGTGACCAGGAATTCAGTGGGAGGAGCCTACACTGCCTCCCAGTCCCCGCGCCTGCTCCGACAAGCACCTGGCACCGTTTCTCAGCTTCCACACCTGGAGAATGGGAGAAGGGCCCACCTCTCACAATGGGCCCAGGATGTGCTAAGGAAACAACCCGCCTGGGTGTGGTTCTCAAGTTTTATGAACAGGCTGAAGAGAAACAAAACATAGTGCTCCTTCCCTTCCTAAGTAGTTTCAGGTGATCTTTTTCGTGGGGGGCGGGAGATGTCAGGCAGGGAAGGGACCCGGGGACCAGTTAACCAAAGGCCTGTGGAGGCTTCGAGCCCTCGAGGACCGAGGCACTAGCCGGCCGCTTCCACCAGAGAAGGGGGCGGCGGCCGGCACGTGCCCCTCCCCGTTGCCCCGGAGACGGGCGGCGGTTTATGTTCAAATCCCGGACTCTCCCACCATGGCGCGGCGGCGGGGGTGCGCGCGGGTCGGTGCCCAGCCGCGGTGGTACGGCCCCAGTCTAGAGGTGCGCAGGAGCCCGCCCGACTCCGCAGTGGCGGCGGGTCGCCGTGGAGGAGGTGAGGGGCTTGGAATTTGAGCGCCGTGGGCTCCCCCTGCTGCTGGAGCCCGGGTGGGCCTGGGGCGGGCGTTTCGGGCGAGCAGGCCGCCCCTCTGGCCTCAGTTTCCTGGTTGCGGAGCCAGCATTCACTTCTCTGTGATTCCCCAGCCCCGTTCCTCCAGTCTCCTCTGCCCCTGTCGGTCCCCGAGAGACGCTGAAGCTGTCCACCCTCCTCTTAGTTTGTCCAGGTCGGGCGCGATTGGCCGGGCCCCAGACCCCTTCGGTAGTTGGAGAGCCCCCTTCCTCGCCGCCCACAGCGCCCCATTTCTCCCCCACCCAGATTCCATCAGCAAAATGACGGACGTGGAGGAAAACGTGCCCCCGAAGGACCCTGGCGATGCAGAGAGCGGGCCCTGTAAGCCCGAAACCTCAGGACCGACCCGGGAAGACATGAGCAGCCCCAAGGACCACCCTTTCCGTAGGTCCAGCCCCGCCGGCCCCGGCCCTCGGGGTGCTTAGTGTGGGTCAGGTGGGAAGGAGCCCGCGGCGCCGCACTTCTCTATCCCCCTTTTTCCTCATCCCCCCCCCCGCCCCCAATCTCTACTTTCAGGCCCCAGGCCCTCTGTTGACCAGAAGATCTTCAGAGTTTTTAGTCCTGAAGAAGGGTGTGACCCAAGAGCGATTTCTTGAATCTGACAAGATGTGAGGTTGAGTCAGTTCAGAGCCAACTTTGTATTCTTTTATTTTGAATTTGTAGGTGGAAAATGGCAGACACCTGGGGTAGATTTTAAAGAACGGAAATGGTCCCAGATGGGCATTGTGTTCTCTCGGCGCTTCGTTGACTGCATTAGTAATGCTGCTCTGGCCTCATACTCTTTAGCTCATACTATAAGAGATGTTCTTTTATAGTTCCAATTGGGGCACAAAGTATCTTCCACACTTTACGTCTGATCTCACTGGGACTCATCCAGCATTTCTCTTGTAATAATCACCAGGCAATTTCAGCAGTCATCAATCTGAAGGCCTGTCCACGTGCAACAAACTGCGTTAAATTCTTTAAATTCAATCGCATTTCTTTCTCTTGTAGCCACACGGGGTCGCTGCTGGTTAAGGAAAAGCAGCAAATGGGGTGCTTTGGAATCCTGATTTAGGCAATACAACTCTCTAACCTGAATAACCAAACTCCTCTTTTTTTAATAATTTCGAAATTTTATATATCAGGTTGACTTGGTTAAGTTACCAAATTATCTTGAAAATGTCTTTGTCCTTGGGATCTGGGTTTTAAAAATCTATTTTAGTTTTTACCTCTAATTTCTCTTTGAACCCTCCCTGTTCCTGAATTTTACAGCTGTAGGAGTTGCGTAGTGCTATGGTACTTTTGAGCGACAACAATCTTGTCAAAGCAGGCTATGAGCTTTGGTTTGTTGTAGTTGGGAAGTGTTTCTGTGTATTTTCCTCAGTCCTTCAATAAGCTGCTACAAGCAGCTCAATCTCCCTTTGAAGATTTTCTCTTTGTTCTGATTTTGCATTACTGAATTAGCAGTACGTCTGTTTGCATATTTGACTGTGTTTTGCCATTTTGGCCAAAACTGAAGACTTCAGAGAGACTGTAAAAATAAAGGGAACTTCCCGTCCACCTAAGGTTCAGTTCACCTTTACATTTACCTAAATGGAAACTCTGCTGGTGGCTTTTTGGTAAATTTTACAATCACCTTTTACCCTTAACTTTTTATTTCGATATATTTCAAATCTGTTGAAAAGTAAAAAAAACAACGAATGCCCACATTAACATTTGCCACACTGTTTTTTTCTCTTATTGTATTTTACGTATGTATTTTTTCTTTCTTGAAGTTCTAGTCATGACTTTATCTCTAAATATTTCATGTCTCTTCTAAGAACAAAGGCATTCTCCTATGAAACCTCTTTTCTGCAATTTTTCCTTTTTACATTTTTAAACCTTTTTGCTTATGGAAAACTTAAACATATACAAAAGTAGAGAGATTGGAATAATGAACCCCCATTTACTCATCACCCAACTTCAACAATTATCAACTCATGGCCAATCTTAGTTCATTTATATCCCCTCCACACCTTGGAGCCAAATACTTTTTTGTGAACAAATTTTGAAGCTTCATTGAAAGAGAGTGAGAAAATATGATTTATTGTGTGCAGCTCTTTTATACCAAGTAATAATAACTACCATGTACGCCAATTATGGAAGAATGCTATCAGGTAGGTCTGTACTAAGAACTTAGAATAGTGGTTGCCAAATGCCAGAGCTGGTTTGTGACAAAATTCTTAGCATGCTGTGTGAAATGAAATAAAGATATTGTAATGAGTTTTTCCTAAAGCTAAATTGATTCAATTTTCAGGACTAGTCTTTTTTCTGACTGTATTCCCTTTCCGCTTTTTGGGAGTTTAAACTATCCTTTTTCTTTTATGAAATGGTTTTGGTGGTGGTAGAGTGGATTTTTTTTTTCTTGGTTGCACCAGGTCTTAGTTGCGGCTTGCGGGCTCCTTAGTTGCAGCTCACCAGCTCCTCAGTTGTGGCATGCACACTTTTAGTTGTGACATACATGTGGGATCTAGTTCCCTGACGAGGGATTGAACCAGGGCCCCCTGCATTGGGAGCACAGAATCTTAACCACTGCTCCACCAGGGAAGTACCTACAGTGGATTTTTTTATTTGCTTATTTCATACTATCCATACCTGACAGAACAAAAAGTTGGCAAGCTGTCGTCAGTTGCTCAAAATCTTTTTGGATATTTACTAGTCTGTGAAATCCTAAATTCTGGAAACTACTTTAGAAGACCAAGTGAGATTGACGCCATTCAGTACCCTCTGTGTGGAGAATTTGACTTCCATCAGAGGCAGGAAGAGGAGAGTGGAATCGTAATATCCTTAGATAAACGTTATTTTTGCAAATCACAAATTATTTCTTTGCCACTTCATTATTTTATTTCTTAAGAGAAAGGTTTTTAATCAGTTTCACTTTGTTTTTTTATAAGATAGCTTCTTTGTCCTCCCTTACCCCCATGCTGGGCTACTGAGAGGCTCTGTCATGGGGCCTAGAGTTCAGAAAACATAACTGACTGGAATGGTCGAATGAGTGTGTATAAAGTCACTGTGATGAATCTCAATTTGGAGCCTACTCAGTGGAGTGAATCTCTGAATAAAATAGAAATTCAGACTTCTTTGAATTCACTGGTGTCCCCCATAAGTTCTTTTTTTTCAGTTGAGGTATAAGTGACATAGAACATTAGTTTCAGGTGTACCTCATGTGTTCTTTCTGTCACAGGTCTGATAGATACAGTTAATGATGTTTCCAAGCTGAGCAAGGAGATTGGGATGAATCATGATTTCCACATGGAAGAGAAGGTTTTGCCGCCAAGCAGGTACAGGCTCTTCTAATTTTCCCATTTTATTCATCCTGGTATAGGCATTTAGCACTAATGGATTCTGACCAGACTCAAAGCATTTTTATTTAATAACACAATCAGTGCTTGAATCTAAGCCGTTAGAGGTCTCAGCAACTGAAACAGAAGAGTAATAAATTGTAATTATTAGTATCAGAGGGTCAAGAAGCAAATGTTATTTAACCAGTGAATAAACCCAAGCAATTTTGGGGATGTTCACTTTGGGACCCCCACTTAATAATAAAATAGTTAGGGTGGATTTCAGATCTTCTCTGACAGATGGGGAGGAATTAGCCTGTAGTAGCTGCCCTCAGTTCCTTGCCACCTGGGCCTCTCCATAGGGCGGCTCACAAAACAGCAGCTGCCTTCCCTCAACCAGGGTGAGAAAGCGAGAGAGTAAGTGGGTGAGAGATGGTGCCCAAGACAGAAGCCACGGTCTTTTTGTTACGTAACCTCAGGAGTGACGTCCGTGGCCTCTGCTACATTCTGTTTGCTAGAAAGGAACCCATAAATCCAGACCACCCTCCAGGGTACAGGATTACACCAGGGTGTGAATACCAGGGATCTAGATCTTTGGGGTCATTTTATTGGTATTGGTTGCCTACCACATGGCTCCTGTCTTATCAGTTACTCTCTATGTGATCACACATTTAAACAGGCACAGATAAAAAGATCAATTTTCTCATTGTGGTGTTTTCAACTGCCCCCTCAACTCCTCACCCGCACCCCCATTCCCCACTTCATAAATCAGCTTAATTTGTGAATCAAGATCAGAACCCACCCCCATCAAGCCTTATTTTTCATTCTTCTTAGTTATATTGACATTGCAATAAATAAGAACCATTCCGTAAGTATGACTTGCTGCTTTATTGGCAGTTAAGTGGGTAAATTCATTGTCAGATTTTACATTTTAAAACAGTTCTGATTTCCCACCAATAGACAGATGTGTGATGGCAGCTTGTGATAAGTCAATTTCCTTAAATGTTTTTGTCATTTGTCAGCTTCAGGGACTCTTACTAAAGTGCTGTTCTTTGCCACAAGTTGCTGCCCTGGTCTTCCTGGTCTGATCTGCTCTTGCCAGCAGATGTCCATGTCAAGCACAGCTTCTCTGGGAACAGGTTTTCACCAAAACCCAGATCCTCTAGCATCTCTCTCACTGCTTAGATGTTTCTGTTGCTGGCAGGAGAGGAGGAAAAAAGAGTAGAGGAAATGAGAGAGGGAGAAATGAAGCAGGGGAAATAGTACTATTCAGAGCTGGGTTTTCAAGTAAGGTAATACAAAATTTATATCAGGAAAAAGGTTGAAATCGAGTTTGAGGTCACTCCTTATTGGCAGTTGGCTTTACTTTGGGCTCATAGGATGAAGTTAATTACAATTGTAGGTTCCTAAGGGAAATCCCATGTTTGGGCATTCATTCATCAGGCATTTGCTGAGTCCTTATTATGTGGCAGGAAAAATGTTGAGTTCTGGGGATAGAGGTAGCTACAGCTATAAATAAATAAGACACTGTCTTTGCTGTCAAGAAGCTTTTGTAAGAGAGACAGATGAATAACAGAAAGTGATAAGTTCACTCAGAGCTCTGTGAATAGAGTGCAATGAACGTTCTCAGCTGCCTAAAGATCAGAGAAGATTTGCCTATGGAGGAAGATTTAGCCTATGATGACTTGAGTCTTAGAGGTGGTCTGGGTGGGAAGGAATGCTCCTGGCAGAGGAATCATGTTGGAGGCACAATGGTGTGAACTGAACAAGTATCTTGATGTGATTGAGCACAGGGTATTGTGAGGTAGGAGGAGGTAAATTTGAAAGGGAGGTAGAGCAATATCAGGAAGGGTCATATGAGCCGTGTATACTGCTGGTGATGGGAAGCCCCAAAGGACTTTGAGCATGACCTCATGATCGGAGTTGCATCTTAGAAAAATCATTGATTTTAGAATGAATTGGTGGGGAACAGATTAAAAAGAGACAAGACTGAAGACAGAGGGACCAGTTAATGGCCTAATGTAGTAGTCCAGGTAAGAGATGATGGTAGGAGGGGATGGATTCCAGAGACATTTAAAAAGCAAAATTTATGGAACTTGGAAGATGGGTTGGACAAATATGGTGAGGGGAAAAGCTTTAAGAACAATTACAGTACACAACAGACTATTAGATTATAGTTGGTTACCTCTGCTGATTGCGATTGGTGTGTTGGGAGAGGAATTCTGATTTTTGTTTTATTCATCTTTGTATTGCTTTTGTTTGTCTTACAAGGAGCATGCATTACTAAGGGGGGATGTTTAATGCCAGAAAACCAATCACTATTTGGCAATGACTAGGTACAGCCTCAGAATTTTCAAATGATTCTTTTTCTTCTTATTAGTCTAACTGTATAGGTCAGAGAAATCATTTAAATAAAGGTCAGAGGAAAATTAATTCCTTTTAAAATATTAATAGACGATTTTTTAGCATAGTTGAGTTTTACAGAAAAGTGATGGAAAATAGAGTTCTCACGTTCCCCCTTTTCTCCTGCACACAGTTTCCTCTATTATTTATATTTTATATCAATGTAGTATATTTGTTACAATTGATGATCCAGTATTAATACATTATTATTAACTCAAGTTTACACTGGTGTTCACTTTTCGTGTTGTATATTCTGTGGGTTTTGAAAAATGTATAATGACATGTATTCACCATTTCTGTATCACACAGAGTAATTTCACTGCCCTAAAAATCCCCTGTGTTCGACCTATTCGTCCTTCCCTCCCTCACTCTGAAACCCTTGGCAACCACTGATCTTTTTACAGTCTCCATAGGTTTTTCTGAATTTCTTATAGTTGGAATCATATAGCATGTAGCCTTTTCAGATTGGATTCTTTCAATTAGCAATATGCATTTAAGGTTCCTCCATGTCTTTTGGGGGCTGGATAGTGCATTTCTTTTTAGTGTTGACCTCTTGGTTGCTTCCAAGTTTTGGCATTTATGAATAAAGCTGCTATAAATGTCCATGTGCAGGTTTTTGTGTGGACATAAGCTTTCAACTCATTTGAGTAAATACCAGGGAGCACTATTGTTGGATTGTATGGAAAGAGTATGTTTAATTTTGTTAGAAACTGTGGAACCATCTTCCAGAGTGACGGTCTTAACACTTTGCATTCCTACCAGCAATGAATGAGAGTTCCTGTTGCTCCCCGTCCTTGTCAGCATTTGGTATTGTCAGTGTTTTGGATTTTGGCTATTCTAATAGGTGTGTAGTGGTATCTCATTGTTACTTTAATTTACAATTCCCTAATGAGATGTGAGGTTGAACATCTTTTCGTATGCTTATATGCCATTTGTATATATATCAATACTTTGGTGAGGTGTCAGTTCAGACCTTTCCCTGTTTTAAAATTGGGTTGTTTTATTGTTGAATTTTAAGAGTTCTTTGTATATTTTGGATACTAGTTCTTTATCAGATATGTGCTTTGCGAAGATTGGAGCTTGCCTTGTCATTCTCTTGTCTCTCACAGAGCAGTTCTTAATTTTAATGAAGCCCAACTTACCAGTTTTTTCTTTCATGGATCTTTCTTTTGGTGTTGTATCCAAAAGGTCGTTGCCAAACCCAAGATCACCTAGATTTCTCCTGTTATCTTCTAGAAGTTTTAGAGTTTTATGTTTTACATTTAGGTCTATGATCTATTTGTGGAAGGTGTAAGATCTGTATCTAGATTCATATTTTTGCATGTGGATGTCCAGTTGTTCCAGCACCATTTGTTGAAAAGACTATCCTTTCTAATTGAATTACCTTTGCTTCTGGTTTTTGTTTGTTTGTTTTTAACGTTTTTTTAAATTATTTATTTATTTATTTTTGGCTGCATTGGGTCTTCGTTGCTGTGCGTTGGCTTTCTCTAGTTGGCTATTGGGGGCTACTCTTTGTTGCGGTGCGTGGGCTTTTCAGTGCGGTGGCTTCTCTTCTTGTGGAGCATGGGCTCTAGGCGCGTGGGCTTCAGTAGTTGCAGTACGCGGGCTCAGTAGTTGTAGCTCACGGGCTTTAGAGCACAGGCTCAGTAGTTGTGGCGCATGGGCTTAGTTGCTCTGCGGCATGTGGGATCTTCCTGGACTAGGGATCGAACCTATGTCCGCTGCATTGGCAGGCAGATTCTTACCTATTGTGCCACCAGGGAAGTCCCTTTTTTTTTTTTTTTTTTTTTTGTTTTTTGAGTGGGGGGAAAAAGACGGATATTTCTGGCTTCCATGACTGGCTACATGGTAGTGCCATTGAAATTGGGAATACAGGAGGAACAGGTTTGGAAGGGGAAGATAGTGAATTCAATTTTCGACCTGCTGATTTGGAAGTATCTATAGATATTCAGGTGTTATCAAAGAAGGAAAATCCTTTCCTAGATTTTAGGTCTATAAGAAAGTGAAAGATCATTTAGTTCATTGCTATATGTGTACATAAAGGGAAACTAAGTCACATCTTTTCTAAGCTAAATGCAAAATCAGTGCTAAAGTTCAGCCCGATCTCTATTCAGGGTTCTTCCTACTGCAGAGGGCGGGCTGTGCTGGAACCACAAGGAGCCCTTCTGAGAGGTTGTGCTGGTGCCCTGACATCCAAGTTTAACCCCAGCTTATTCAGCTCTGCTACTGTCCAAACATAGTTCCTGGCCTTTCCCTGTCTGTATAATGGTCTTTGATCATATCAAACACTGTTTGGGGCTTAGGAGATAACGACCTTTTGGCAATTTTTGAGTAGAGAAAGTAATTTGTTCATTTAACCTTCTTACAGTCTGGAAGGCAGGGTCAAGGAGACAATGCACAATGCCTTTTGGGATCATCTGGAAGAGCAATTATTAGCTATTCCTCCAGACTTCAGCTGTGCTCTTGAACTCCTAAGAGAAATTAAAGAGGTGAGTGACGAACCTTTTATTTGTAGATGTAAAGTTCCTAGACAGCCCCCACTCACTGGAATGTCAGTGGCTAGCAAATCCTAACTGAACATGGTCCATGAATCAGTCAGAGTCTAATCAATAGACAGAAATCACACAGTAATTTCAACAAAGAAGTTTTAATATAAAAATTATTATAACAGGGAATTGGAGAAATGAAGGCTTTGGGCTAGTAAGAAGCAAAGAAAACTCTACTGGAATATCAGACATAAGGAGAATCCTTTCTCATCCCCAGGGGATGGGGAAAACCCAAGGACCCAGTTACTCATTTGAGGGCATGTCTGTGCCAGGGGAGGTTGCTGGCCTGTGTGTGCTGCTGACCACCGTGTACTGCAGGAGCTGGCCCTGGAGAAGCAGCCACTTTCTCTGCAGAGTCCAGCACTGGAGAAGCCTCTCAGCTGTAGGAGCCAGCTGCCTGCAGAGCCACATGTACTATAGGAACCTGCCATGTGAGCATTCCAGAACCAGGAAGAAAAGCTCTTGCCTTTTGCAATGTCTTTCTAGTATGTGGTGGAGACACCCTAAGGTGACCCCCAGTGATCCATGCCCTTGTATAATCCTCTCTCCTTGAGTGTGGATGAGATCTAAAACTTACTTTTAATCACTAGAATATGGCAAAGGTGATGGGATGTTACTCCCGGGATTACATTTCATTATGTAAGACTTTATCTTAGAAAGCTGGAGAGAGAGACTTTCCAGCTGGCCTTGAAAAAGCAAACAGGTAGGGACTTCCCTGGAGGCGCAGTGGTTAAGAATCTGCCTGCCGGGCTTCCCTGGTGGCGCAGTGGTTGAGAGTCCGCCTGCTGATGCAGGGGACACGGGTTCGTGCCCCGGTCCGGGAAGATCCCATGTGCCGCAGAGCGGCTGGGCCTGTGAGCCATGGCCGCTGAGCCTGCGCGTCTGGCGCCTGTGCTCCGCAACGGGAGAGGCCACAACAGTGAGAGGCCCGCGTACCGCAAAAAAAAAAAAAAAAAGCTATATGTCTTACAAGTTCTTATCCTTTTCCCCAAATGAGGAAACTCACATTCCCAACAGTTATAACCGTTGCTGTCTATGATATACCTCATATTCAGTCATAGTCTCACTGAATATTACCTACAGGCTAAACTGTAAAATTTAACTTCCAACAACCTGTGTATAAAATAATAATGGAGGTTCCTTAAAAAACTAAAAATAGAGCTATCATATGATTCTGCAATCCCACTCCTGGGCGTATATCCAGAGAAAACCATAATTCAAAAGATACGTGCACCCCAAATGTTCACTGCAGCACTATTTACAATAGCCAAGACATGGAAGCAACCTTAATGTCCATAGACAGATGAATGGATAAAGAAGATATGGTACACATATACAATGGAATATTACTCAGCCATAAATGAAGAATGAAATAATGCCATTTGCAGCAATGTATACACACTACTATATATAAAACAGAAAATCATCAAGGACCTACTGTATAGCACAGAGAACTCTACTCAATTATTCTGTAATAACCTAAATGGGAAAGGAATCTGAAAAAGATATATGTATAACTGAATCACTTTGCTGTACACCTGAAACTGACAAAACTTGTAAATCAACTATACTCCAATATAAAATAAAAATTAAAAAAAATAATAATGGGATGGAGAGAGAAGAAAATGGTTAGCATGTACAAATAAAGCCATGCTTATAACAAGCAAAGAGAAAATGTATGGTCTTCGTTTCTGTAATTGGTCCTGAGGCTGTAGTTGGTATCTATGGCTTCATTTTACTAGTCATTCCATATTTCCCTTGTCCTTAGCTGCTGGGGTTCTTTATCTGATGGAGTGACTCAAACCTTCATTGCCAAAGAGTCTGAGTCCTTGGGCGTTTTGCTTTTGTTGTTTGTATGTTGTGGTTTTCCCTTGACCTATATTATTGGGTATGGAAGTATCAAAAGGTACCTTAGAATCTTCTGGGTTCCAGACACAGTCCTTCTTGTTCCCATTGTGTAGCAGCAACCCAGTTTCTCCTTAGTACTCAGGATCAATTACTCTAGTCCATAGAGGAACTCCTTTTTTACCTTGTTGGTTCAGTGGTATAGGGAGCCCAAAATGACCAGGGGGGTAGTCTCATCTTCTAATTCATTGGAACCAATGTAAGCATTCCTCCCAAATCAGCAGAGCCCAAAGTTGGCAGGAGGGGAAATAAAAATTCTGCAAGTAGGTTATAAGATATAATGGTGAGAGGAACCAGTCCTACTTCCACCCCTTGATTCCTGGGACCATGTATTCTGGCTTTAGGGAATAGCACTGCATAATGGTTTTGATTCAAAGTATATATTGCATCTTATAAGACAGAACCTCTTCCTTTCAGGATATTATCTCTCAACTAATGCTGTAACTGAGTCTTCAATAAGCCATTCCACTTTTCAGTTAAGACCAGTCGACTCTCCGTGAGGGGTATGTGGGTATGAACCCATTGCTGTACTTTCTTGGCTGTAAAATGAGCTCCTTGATTAGATGCAATGCTGTGGGGCATACCAGGACCCAGGACAGAGGATAAGGCATTCTGTGAAATTTTGTGAGTATATGGATGTTGGTGCTGACAGAAGTAGTGCAGACAGGGAAGACAGCTCCATATTCAGAATGCGTCTATTCCATGGAGGGTGAATCTCCGCCCCCTCCACGAAGGAAGAGATCCAAAGAAGTCATCCGCTGCAGGTGGCTGGCTGATCCCCCCTGGGGAATGGTGCCACATTACCAACTTAGTCGTTTGTGCTTTTTAGGATTTTTTTTAATATGGTAAACAAAATTTTTACCGTTTTAATAATGTTAAGTGTTACAATTCAGTGGCATTAAGTACATTCACAGTGTGGTGCAGTCATCACCACTGTCCATTTCCAGTACGTTTCATCTTCCCACACAGAAACTCTACCCATTACACAGTAACTCTTCAGGCCCCTTTTCCCCCAGTGCCTGGTAACTTCTATATTACCTTCTGTCTCTAGGAATTTGACTACTCTAGATTCCTCATATAAGTGGAATCATACAACATTTGTCCTTTTACATGTGGCAAATTTTACTTAGCATGTTTTCAAGGTTCATCCACATTGCAGTGTGGATCAGAACTTCGTCCCTTTTTATGGCTGAAAATATTCCATTGTATGGATATACCACATTTTGTTTATCCATTCATTTGTTGTTTTGGTTTGGTTTTGGCCACGTCACATCTTAGTTGCAGCATCTTCAGTTGGAGCATGCGGGATTTTTTTTTTTTCACATCTTTATTGGAGTATAAATGCTTTACAAGGTTGTGTTAGTTTCTGCTGTATAACAAAGTAAATCAGCTATGTGTATACATATATCCCCATATCCCCTTCCTCTTGAGGCTCCCTCCCACTCTCCCTATCCCATCCCTCTAGGTTGTCACAGAGCATCAAGTTGACCTCCCTGTGCTCTGCAGCAGCTTCCCACTAGCCATCCATTTTACATTTGGTAGTGTATATACGTCAGTGCTACTGTCTCACTTAATCCCAGCTTCCCCTTCCCCCGCATGCCCTCAAATCCATTCTCTACGTCTGTGTCTTTATTCCTGCCCTGCCACTAGGTTCATAAGTGCTGCTTTTTAAAAAATTCCATATGTATGTGTTAGCATACGGCATTTGTTTTTCTCTTTCTGACTTATTTCACTCTGTATGACAGATTCTAGGTCCATCCATCTCACTACAAATAACTCAGTTTCGTTCCTTTTTATGGTTGAGTAATATTCCATTGTATATAAGTGCCACATCTTCTTTATCCATTCATCTGTTGATGGACATTTAGGTTGCTTCCATGTCCTGACTATTGTAAATAGAGCTGCAGTGTACATTGTGGTGCATATATCTTTTTGAATTATGGTTTTCTCAGTGTATATGCCCAGTAGTGGGATTGCTGGGTCATATGGTAGTTCTATTTTTAGTTTTACAAGGAACCTCCATACTGTTCTCCACAGTGGCTGTATCAGTTTACATTCCCACCAACAGTGCAGGAGGGTTCCCTTTTCTCCACACCCTCTCCAGCATTTATTGTTTCTAGATTTTTTTTTTGATCCACTTTCCTTTTATTTATTTTTTGAATTTTATTTTATTTTTTATACAGTAGGTTCTTATTAGTTATCCATTTTATACATATTAGTGTATATATGTCAATCCCAATCGCCCAATTCATCATACCACCACCGCCCCCCACTGCTTTCCCCCCTTGGTGTCCATACGTTTGTTCTCTATATCTGTGTCTCTATTTCTGCCCTGCAAACCAGTTCATCTGTACCATTTTTCTAGTTTCCACATATATGTGTTAATATACGATATTTGTTTTTCTCTTTCTGACTTACTTCACTCTGTATGACAGTCTCTAGATCCATCCACGTCTCTACAAATGACCCAATTTCTTCCTTTTTATGGCTGAGTAATATTCCATTATATATATGTTCCACATCTTTTTTTTAAAAAAATAAATTTATTTATTTATTTACTTATTTTTGCCTGCATTGGGTCTTCGTTGCTGCACGCAGGTTTTCTCTAGTTGCAGCAAGCAGGGGCCACTCCTTGCTGCAGTGCGCAGGCCTCTCACTGTGGTGGCCTCTCTTGTTGCAGAGCATGGGCTCTAGGCGCGCGGGCTTCAGCAGTTGTGGCTCGCAGGCTCCAGAGCGCAGGATCAATAGTTGTGGCATACGGGCTTAGCTGCTCCACGGCATGTGGGATCTTCCCAGAGCAGGGCTCAAACCCATGTCCCCTGCATTGGCAGGCAGATTCTTAATCACTCTTAGGGCTAAACTCTAAAGCTATTTGACTTAAAGCTGGAAGCTGGTCCATCAAAGGATGTTAGAAGTACAAAACACAGGTCCCCTCTACACAGCTTCGGATTCGGCAATTAGCTTGAAAAGACCGCTGGTCTTGGTGGGTCTCCTGGGGAGGTTGGGTTGGCTGTGGCTCATGCTGGGGCCATAAAAGC